GAATGACCTACACCCAACTCTGCAGAGCCCCAAGGCACAGAGAACCGGTCGATCTCCATGCAGTGCTCACCGTTTTATATTTTATCTAGCACACATGAGTTAGGCACCCATGGTATGGCGGCTGGATATAGAGAAATGAGACAAATACCTTTCCTTCTCCTCACTGAGAATGACTTCAGACCTGTCTGGGACTGGCCCAGGGTCCAGGAGGAGGTTATAAGGTTGTACTGAATGGGTGTGTCAACGGAAGACTGTGTCTGAGCAACACAGATAGACAAATAGCCCTCCAACACCCTGCATGTCATTGAGAGGTGGGAATGACACAGGATGTGGAGAAAACCAGCAGTTAATCTCTGTGGGCGGGGGGGGGGATGCACGCATGTACATGTGTTGTGATGCACATGTGGAGAATACCAGCAGTTACTCATGTGTGTGGGGGGTGCATGCATGCACACGTGTCATGATGCACATGTGGAGAAAACTAGCAGTTCCTTGTGTGTAGGTGTGTGCATGCATGCACACATGTCATGATGCACGTGTGGAGATCTGAGGACAACCTCTACTGCTGGTACTCACCCCTTCCACCTTGTTTGAGACCCTGGTCCCTCCTGTTATTGCTTCACACACTTGACTAGCTGTCCAAGCCTCTGGACATTCATCTGTCTCTCTCCCATCTCACCATAGGGGTGTGCTAGGTTTTCAGATATACATCTGCTACTGTGCCTGGCTTTCTTTATGTAGGTCCTGGAGATCCAAACTCAGGTGGTCAGGGTTGTGAGGCAAGCACTTGACCTACTAGATCATTACCCCAGTCGGCAAACCAGCAATTATCCCCTTAAAAAGGATATTGGAGCCCTTTATCCCTTTAGAAAGCTGGAGTTTTATCAATGAAGTTTATAAGTTTTCATTGCTGCTACTGAAGTCAGGGTGACCCGTGAAGATATGACTCATCCTTTAGTTATCCCAGAAACGTGAGCTCCAGCGGTTACCAACATGTGGGCTGGACCGCAAGTCCCATCCCTCCTCCACACCAGCTCCTGCCTCTGCTGAAGCTTGGTTACATAATGTGCTTGTCTGGCCATATGGCAGCTGCCCAGATTCATTTGAAGCCTCTGAGATCATCCTGTCTCCCATTTTACTGATGAGAAACCTGAGGTTTCAAGAGACCAAGGTCCTCGTTCAGGGTCATAGCACCAGAAATCCACAGAATACAGACAGGAACTCCAAACTCACACTGCCATTGGTTCAGACTGCTTTCCAAACCTCAGGTTCTCCACTCTGATTCACAGGGACATCTTATTCGACTCCCCTCTCAAGGTTCAGGGTCTGGGCTTCCTCCTTCTCCCACACTCGGATGTCCTGTTCCTGAAGTGAGGGACGCCCTGGGCCTAATTCGTGCTTGGGTCTATAGCGGTGCTTCTCAACCTTCCTAATGCTTCAAAGCGTTAATCCAGTTCCTTGTATTGTGGTGACCCCTAACCATAAAATTATTTTTGCTGTTGTGTCATAACTGTGATTTTTCTACTGTTAGAGATCATAATGTAATATATTTGACATGTGGATGGTTGTTTGACCCTGGCACTCACTGGTTAGGTCAGCCTCACTAATTGGTGAGCTGCAAACCAGTGAGAGACCCTTTCTTCCAACACAAGGCGGGGCTGGGGGGGGGATGCCTCAGCGTGTAAGTACTTCAAACAAAAGCATGAGGACTAGAGTTCAGATCCCCAGAACCCACATAAAACCCTATATGGTAGCACACCTCTGTAACCCAGTATTCCTACAAGAAGGAAGACAGATACAAAGGAGTTCCCAGCAGCCCAAGGGCCAGATAGCCTAGTGGAGAACAAGGAATGCTGCCTCAAACAAGGTAGAAGGCAAGGACCAAAATCCACAGATGTCCTCTGACTTATACACTCAATTCATAGTATGTATGTACCTGTACTCACACAGAGAAACACATACAAATATACACCCACACACATACACACACACATACACTTGCACACACACACACATATGCACACACATCCACACAAAGAAAACAAGGCATATGACTCCAGAAGAACGACACCAGATGTCATTTTCTTGCTTTCGTACTCAAACCCACACATGTGAATACAGACCTGCATGTGTGTGCATGCACGCACATGCACACGCGTACACACACACACACACACACACACAAGCTAATTAAATATGCCCACCTCCCTAGAAAGATCACTGGTCATTTTGTTGAGTTCTCTAAGTATAGCCCAAACCCTTGATCTGTTCTTCATAGTGGTACAGAATTCAGCTATTATCTGTCTCAATGATCTCTCCTGAAATATTTGTAATAGCCATCACGATTCTCTCTAAACCTGCTCATTTCTATTCTAAATACCCCCGTTGCACCAGACATCTCTTCTTTATATCTGACAGTGATCCAGGAAGAGACTTGATCGCCTCCTTAGCAGCCTCCTCCCGGACACATCCATCATGCAGGCAAGCAGACAGGAAGAGGTTTGCTGGGGGAGGTGCTGCCCATCCGTCAGCCACCGTGGAGCACAAAGCTGGGCAGGACTCGATAGGTGTGTTTGCTTTTGCAGCCTGTGAATAACTGAGCCTTGTGCAAATTAATCTTTTCTTACAACACAAATTTCAGCATTATCTCTTTCATTCATACTTTTTAATTTAGTCATTCAATGAATAAATCTTTACTAAGTATGTTAAGACAGGCCTTGTAAAGAATCCTTGGATAGACAGTAAGACATAATCTCACACTTTAAGGATAGGGCAAAGAGAGACCAATAAATGGACATCTCCTCTTATTTGAAGTCTGTTGGTTACTGCTAAGCCTCAGGACAGGTCCTGAGACTGTGGCAGCACAAGGGATGCTGTGGTCACTATTTTAAGAACTGATTCTGTCATCGGCTCAACAAGTGGCACCTGAAAGCTCCCACTCCAGAAACTCCTTCTTTGGGGATTGTACTCTGGTGAAAAGAGATCACATCTTCTCTCCGAGAGTAGCTCAGATCCAATGCAGGGACCAAGCCAGCCCCTTGCATGAATCAGCTCTGGCCTCTATCATGACTGTGTATAAGTTGAACTCTTCCCACCAAAGCACCCTCGATGTGTTTCCAAGAACCCTGCCAAATGGTCTTTCTATGCAGATGTCCATCTTCAAGCTACTTCCCGGGGGACTTGGCACATGAGCCAAAATGAGACAGTTGAGAGCTTGCCTTCTGGAGTGGAGAAATGGCATTCACCAGGTGATCCCACAAACACAAGCCATTGGGGCCATAAGGAAGGATGCATAGTACCATAAAAGAGGGTCCCTTAGTCAGCCCCGACTTCCGTGCTGCCAGATGAGCTCTGATGTTCAAGGGGATGTTAGCAAACCAAGAGTATACTGGAATGGAGGAGAGCAAGGAGTGCTACCAGAACCCCAGAGAGAGAGCGTCTCATTCTGAGGAGGAAGTGGCCAGCTGGGGCAGGTATTGGGAAGGGAGTGTGTCCCAGCTAGAGTAAAAGGAGAGGTGAGCATCTGCTCAGTGGAGGAGTGAGGGCCTTAGGGCATAGGGATCAGTATTGAAGGAATGTAGGATATTAGAGGAGAAGCAGAGCTTATTCACAAGACATAGGTAAGAGGGGGTCACACGGAGCTTAGCAGCTCTGGTATGCTAAGCCAACCAAAGCATTTGGTACGGTTTCCAGAAAGATCCTCCTGACTGCTGTGTAGAACCCTGATGGACGAGGGAGGGAGCAGGCAGTGAGACTCTGGAGCAGGCACTGCAGCTCACTAGGTCAGCGATGACACTCTAGGCTGGTGAGGAGGAGGAGGTTAACTGGGGGGCTAACTTCAAAGCAGAAGCGAGGCAATTTCAAGCTGTAAAGAACTGCTGCTCGTCTTCCCCCCCCCCCAGACCTCTAACTTGGACATCCAGGGCTGGAGAACTTCAGTGGAGTTCGGGAGACACAGCCAAAACTCAGTCCATAGATCAGAAGCCCCCAGGAGGCCACACTAAAAAGTCTCAGCCCCTCCCTCTGCCATGCCTGGGAACAGTGGGCACTGCAAGTTTCGAACACCAACTCACAGTTAGTTTGATTTACAAGTAGACATGCCAGGATGTGCTCTTGTTACATTGCTAAGAAATTAAGAAATGCTAGCGTGTGTGTGTGTGTGTGTGTGTGTGTGTGTGTGTTTTGCTGCTGTTTCATGGGATGGGATGCATGGAGCTTGGGCTTCATCAGACAGGCTGGGGTGGAAGCAAGTCCTAGGACTGCTTTTGACCTGCTCGGAAGGCTGTTTTGCCTCTTGAGAATTGTGTCTCTTCTTCTTCTAACAATGGGGATGAGAGCTGAGGGGGAGGGGGACTAAATGTGGCGCAGTACCTGGCACGCAGCAGACATCAGTCTAATTATCCCTCTGGGAAAGTCCTGCATCTGAGACTTGCAAAGTGGTCCCAGGCAAACAAGTGTATGGCTGCTGTAGCACGAATTTCTAATTGGTATTAATAATAAAAACCCAGAGTCAGTTTACAGGGGTTAATACTGAAGATCAGAGAAGCAGAACACCCAGCCACTAGAGAGTTCTTACCTCTGCCAATGCTTAGACCGAAGGGGTGATCTTGTCTCTACGAATCTTCAGACTGCATCCTCAGACTGTGTCTGTCTCCACCAAACCTCAGACTACATCTGAGCTCCTGTCTCCTCCCACCTTATTCCTCTCTCCGCCCAGCCATATCACTCCTGTCTCTACCTCTCTAGTGCTAGGGTTAAAGGCCTGTGACTCCCAAGTACTGGGATTAAAGGTGTGAGCCACCACAGTAGAGCTCCGTTTCTCTTTTAGACTGGATTAATTTCACGTAGTTCAAGGTGGCCTTGAACTCACAGAGATCCGTCTGCCTCTGTCTCCCGAGTGCTGGGATTAAAGGTGTCTGCCACCACTCCCTGGCCTCTATGGCTAACTAGTGACTTGGCTCTGTCTGCACTTTGATCTTTGGGCAGGCTTTATTTGTTAGATCACAAACGAAATATCACTACGGGCTGCCATTCACCCCAACATGGACAGTGGACAGGGCTGAAGCCACCGCAAAGATCACTGAGGAACTGATGCTGGATCCTCCAAATGGCTCGTCCGAACTTGGTCAGCTGGCACAGCCATCATTCTAGTTGGTCTCCAGGACAACTGAGAGAGGCAGGAATGGCCAGATCATTTGGCACATGACAGACCAGCAGCACGGGGCCTGAAATGGAAGAGCCTGGACTTCATTCCTACAGAATTCACTTGGCTATTATCCCCACTATTCAATGAGGAAACTGAAGATCAGAAAAAAAAAATTAGAAACCAGCCCAAGGTCAGCCAACCCAAGGCCTGCCTGCAGCATGGGATTTCATGATGCTGCTCCAAGATTCATCTCCTCGGAGCCTCGGTTGCAAATGGGACGGCAATCGATTTGACAAATGTATTATGGGAACCACCTGTCAGCCACCTTCACCGTGTCCATCTCTGCTCATCTCCACGTGGCTTTGTCAGGATGAGGATGAAGGCAAAGGCGGAGGAGGCTTCTGTTGGCAGCCCTGAAAGAGAGTTCTATCCCAGAGTCCTTGTATGCCTCCTGACTCACAGACCAGGAAAAGGAGCTAGCAAGGTCTGGTGCAGAGTGGTGAGGACAAGAAAGACAGGCTGTAGGGTACGTGGATGCAGACCCAATCCCTGTCACCACACCCTACCCCTGTAGGTGCTCACAACTCAGGAGGCATTATGAGGTAAAATATACTCCTCCCAGGTGAGCTTTACCTGACTTACCCGTTAAAGAACTGCATCTTGCAGCTAGATGGGCGTGGGTCTATAATGGCATTTATCTCTTTGACTATCAGAAACAGTCTTATTTCCATTTTTGCTTCAGCAGCTCCTGAGTTACCTGAGGGCAGCATCCATGTCCTGTCCACCTGTGTGATCCCAGGACCTACCACGATGGTTGAAATGTAACCACCCGTTAGATGTGAAGTAAAGAATGTTTTGTCTTCTGTTTTGAAAGCCTCCACTCACCTCAGGTATTTGGATCATAAGCCTAGGTCCTGTGGTCCATGAGAAGCACACCAACATGAGAATCTGGCTGCCAACCTCAGGTAGACAGGAAAGCAAGCATTGCTTGATAAACATTAGCCCAACTGCAAAGTTAATGAACAGAAGAATTGAGGTGTTTTATGACTTATTTTTAATTTTTCTTACTTATATGCATATACATATATGTGTTGTGTGAATGTATGCATACATGCATGCAGGTGTCCAAACAGCCAGAAAAGGGTATCTGATTTCCTGGAGCTAGAGATAAAGGCAGCTATGAGACTCCCAGTGTAGGTGCTGGGAACTGAACTAGGATCCTCTGCAAAATGTTCTGCACTGCGGAGCCATCTCTGCAGTCCAGCAGTCAGGATCTTATCTGGATGTCTATGCTCTCTCTGAGCTAGACCAGGGGCCAAACCTGTGGCAGTATTTTTAAAAACATGTAAAGACTTACCTCTGCTTCCATCAAACAAGAGATCCTTTTACCAAACCGTCCCACGCAGAAGCCCCGCCCCAACCACGGCAGCATGGCAGAGCTTACCTCCGTGTGCAGTGATAACAAATGAGATTCCTCCCCTTACTAACTTTACCTAACTCCTTCACAGCAGGCAGATTGCTAGACCAGAAAAGTTGCAAGGCCCAGAGGAGAGGATTGCTGGGGTAATCTATTCTGTCTGCTATGGACCTGGAAAGGAAAACAGCATCAAGCCGACTGCCTCTCTGCCCACCAGATCCACATCCCACATGTCAGGAGAAGGCAGGTTCATTAAACTACAAACACCCTCTCGCCCTGGTGAAGCCACAGAAACTGAATATTCATGGTACAAGCTTTGCTACTAAAATCCTAAGTCTCACAACAACTGAGACCAGGCATGGCAGAGAAGTAGACATCAATGGCGTTCTCAGAGAACTTGAAAGAACTGAAGTAGGTTTGACAGCAAGAAAAAAGAGAAGGAGCAGAAAGGAAGTGTGAGAATTTCAGAGCCTCGGCCCTCTGTGGATAGTCACCTGTCTGACCTTTTCTTGATAAGCTTTGACAATAAACCTGCCTTGGGATTGTTTTCTGCCCTGGCATTAATGGGAACATCTGCTTTTCGTCTGTAAACATCATAAACCATCATTTGGTCTCCACTGATGCATTGCTTCAATGCAGCCCTGAAGGATGGTGCAGAATTTCCCAGGAACACTCCATAACTCACTTTGGGGGGTGGGGAGTCCTTCCTCCCCCACCTCCCTTCTTCACCTACACAGAAAGGAAATTCCAGCAGGTACAATGAAACAGCTGCTCGGGGTGCTAAGTGGTCTCAATTCAGTCTTGACCGTCCAGGCATGAACCATACAGATTATTTGGGGTGTGGTGGCCTGCACTCTAATGCTGGTACTCAGAGGCAGATAGAGCTGGATCTCTAACATCCCTAGGCCAGCCTGGACTGCATAGTGAATTCAGGCCAGACAAGACTTCATAGTGCGACCCTGTCTAAAAACAAAATGAAAGGAAGCACTCACAGGGGGAAGGTGAGCCCACCCAAGCCCCTGGGGTTGATACTAGGAAGATAAATACCAGCTAGTGTAATACACACTTCATCTTCAGGAATACCCAAGGAATGTTCCAGAAGGAATCTGAGCAAACTGCGGGAAGGAGTCACCAAGTAGGCATGAATTTCTACAAGTTTAGCAGAGAGCAGTTGTAACAGCAGCAGGAATAGGTCAGTAGTCATGGGATCAGGTAAGGAGGTGCAGAGACCTGGCCATGGTAGCCGTGATACATTCTACTCTTTGGTTTTACAAGCTTGGCCTTGTAGTCCACATGAAAGTGAGACATGAGGTATTCACCTTCCCATCTGAATTCTTTGAGCACCACAGTCTCTAGATTCACCCATGTTTTTATAATTAACAATATTTACTTCTTTTTGAAAACTGAATAGGCTTAACCAAGGATGGATGAGTAGACCATTGACAGGCAGACAGACAGACAGATCTCACATTCTTCACTCAGTCACTGCGCTTCACTTGATTCCATTATCTTGGCACTGTGAAAACTGTACCATGGGAAACCAAGTATCTTTTTGACATACTGCCTTAATTCTCATGGATGTATACCTAGACATGGGGTTGCTGGATCACATAGAAGTTCCAGACTTATTTTTTGAGCCGTACCAAATGATTGCACTAATTTTCCCCCATCAACAGTGTTCAAGGGCTTGCCTTCTATTGTTCCCACATCCTTGCCAGCACTTGCTATCTTTTGTGAGCGTGCTAACAGCCATCCCCACAGGTGTGAGGTGTTAGCTCCTGCGGATTGAATTTGCATCTCCCTGATGACTAGTGGTAATGAGCATTTGTTCCAATATCTGATGGCCATTTGTAATGGCTGTTACAAGTGGCTGGGGGGAGTAAGAATGAAGGGGAAAGGGGCGACTTTAGTCAAAGGCACAAAGTTTTAATTAGACATGAGACATAGTTCTGAAGGTGAGCAGCATAGCCTGGTGCCCATGATGGGAACCATGCACCCAAAACCACATTTTATAGGAGCTCAGATTTCAGAGTTGGAAGGAGAATTCCTATCAATAATAAAATTGCTAGCTTATTTTATCTACTTGACATCTTCTGCAAACCTCTTTGCATTGACTGTCTCTAGGGTGATGGGGACATAGACTAAGGCATGTTGTTGAGTGTAGCAGGACTCGCAGCCTCCTCCTGATGCCCCCCCCCAGCCTGCTTTGCGTGGGAGGTGGAGAAGACTGAGACCACGGCCTTCACATCAGCAGAGCAGGAAAACAGTGACAGAAGGAGCAGGAATACGGAAACAGCAAGGGACAGTGGGAGTTTTGTGCCACACTTTCTTTTCTTCCCTTTCTTTCTGTGTTCCTGTCCTCCTTGAAGCAAGAAGTCTACCCTTCAGTTCCAGTCCCTACACTGGCTGTGGCTAGTGGGGTGTTCTGTATAGTCTGCTTTGGCCCATTAAAAATGTGCTCAGCTTAGTCGATGTTCAATGTTGTTTATTCATTCTTGAGCTTCACACACACATGCAATGTACTTTGATCATATTTAACCTCACTACACCCACTACATCTTCCTAGACCCACCTCCAACTCTCTCACCATGCTGGAATGTTGACTGACTTAGTCTGGTTCAGGCCTTGGGCAGGTAACCACAACTGCAGAGTTGTGCAGGAGTCCCACTGTACCTAGAAGACACTGTCCACTACAGTCCTCCTTAACTTCTGACTCTTACAATCTTTCTGCCCCTATTCCGAGATGACCCTTGAACCCTGAGGGAGGGGCGATCTAGATATCCCATTGCGGCTAAGGATCCCACAGACACTTACCTGACGTCCACTACACAAGAAACTTCTTTGATGGCGTTCAAGAGTGACATTCATCTACTGGTAGAAATATGAGCTTAGAGGGCAGTTTGTTACTATCTCCATTTAGCAAAATAGTAGTGGTATGTGCACCTCCAGGGCCTCTGACTCCCCAACCATGGGCTCTTAGACAGATTTATAGCACTGGCCTGTGTTTCATCTTGTGGAGTGGGCCTTAAATCAATCAAAAAGTGGTTTGTTACACTCATAAAATTCATGTCAAATGTGCTCATTTTGATTTGACTTGTCTTGGCCTCATTCGGGGTGACATCATAGTGGTGGTCAGATCAAGGGACCAGGCTGATCCAGAGAGACTCCAATGCTAATTCCTCTCAGTCCTGGCCTCTCTGCCTTCATCATTACCCTTGTCCCACAGCTGAGCCGTGGGTCATAAAGTACCTACTATGTGCCAGGTATCAGATAAGGCTCTGGGAATACAGAGATGAAAATAACCAAACTCCTATTAGCAATAAGTACCTACTCTGTGCCAGATATCAAATAAGGCTCTGGGAATCCAGAGATGAAAGTAACCCAACTCCTATTAGCAATAGGAGACAGCTTGTAAGAACCTCAGAAAAATACTAGCAAACCTGCCCTCACATCCATTTAAAATATGCATCAGGCCCTGGTGTCTGTTGGCTGCTCCCAAGCCAACCACGCTGTAGTCAAACCTGAAAGAACTCTGGTACCCACCACCAAGGGCCTCCATGTGGGATTCCCTAATGAGTGGCAGGAAAGGGTCTTTAGCAGCCTGGTAGTTTGAATGTCTTTCCAGGAGAATGGCCTCAAAGAACTCACTGGCCTTCCGGGTGATTTCAATAACAACCCACCCAGATAACAACTGCTTACCTTGTGTTGGACTTAAAGGGGGAACACTCCACACTGCCCCAGCTCCCTGCATGCTAGTGTCCTAACAGACAGAACTGCTGTACCATGAGACTTTCTTTTACAAAGTGCTCCACACCTCTTCCTGCATGGTGTTTAGGTTAGGGTTTGTAGTGAGAATCCACGAGAGTCTGGGAGAGGTTCGAAAGAATTTATTTAGGTGCATAATAGGGGTGAACGCTCATGGACACAGGATACACTGCTGTGGTTGTTCTGCCCAAGGGGAAAGAGCACCAACAGCAAGCCACCTGCTTAGATCCTAACATCAAGCCTGCTCAAGAACAAGAGAGAGCAAGTAACTGCCCCCACCTTTCCTTTAATGAGGTCTATGGGAAGAACAGAAGTATCACCTCAATAGGATCAGATAGCCCAAGGTCATGGGTGGAGCGAATACCTACTACACTTCCCCCTTCTGTATAAATGAGAAGGTTCTAAACAAAATTATATACGATAAGGGCAATTATCAAGTTTTGTCCAGGAGAAAGAAAGGGTAATAACATACACAAAAATAGAACTATAAAGAAACAAGAACAACATCAAGCAAGAAACAGATACTAAATGTCCAGGCCATAGGTAACTGGCAAATAACAGAGATTATTCCAACAGCTGTCCCATCCTGAAGAGCCTAAGTCTTGTACCTAATGTACCTAGCTTAAATATGAGAGGATAGTAGCTTTGACTATATGAGGTTTGACTTCTAACCTCATCAAAGGCCCAAGAAGGAAAATAATATTACCTGAGTAAGCAGGAAGTACAAGCAAGTGACTTCCAAGAGATGCAAGAAATGACAGAAACAGCTGGCTGCCAGGACAGTCACCCAAAGACTCTCTGAAAGAGTGAGC